TCACATGTTCGTTTTGTAACTCACATATTTAAAATCACTAATACTATGCCGTGGTCAGGTGTAAAGAACGCGACACTCTGAATTCCTTTTTCGAGGTTTTCTAATATTGTGCCGATTCTCACGCTACCAGGTACAATGTATCTGATTACAAAAAAAGAATATTTATAAATAAGAATATTAAATCCAAAAGTGTAGAAATGGCGCGGAAAACGATAATTGTAATTATTGCGAACTTGGAAAAATGTCCAATGGCATAGAATATCGGTTGCTTGTAAAACTCGTTGGCTGTAACGTTGATTATGATCGGCGAATCTACGTAATTGCCGATATAATTGGGCCCACCGTTTGTATCTAAGGCGATGTTCCAGTCAATCCAAGATGACGCCCAATGCGACAGATTTTCGAGAATATTCTGCGCGTAGAACTCACCGCGTCTCCACGAGCCGAGAATCACCTTTTTTTTTTCTGTAAATAAAGAGGTAATGCGTGTCATTTACTGAATACGTGTAACAGACTGCGCTTTATTAATATTTATCCGATCAAACTTTCTTTCGATACAAACAGTAAAACCTTTGACTCTGTAAAACGTAAGAGACTTCGTTTCCCGTGTTTTGACTTCACAAATGTTTTCACATATGATTTTAAATGACAATTGATCAATCCCCACTGTGCGACTTCAAGGAGTTGTAGAGTCTGTGCTCGAGAGGTTACATGTGCGTATTATCAGGACGAAAAAAAGAGAATGTGTGTTCTAAAGGATTAAGAATTTTTACACAAACTTACCAAAAACTCCGATGCAGCCTTCTGTTATAAGTATCAATTTCTCAGGATAATCACGCTTTACTTCATCAAGGACAGTCGGACTGACTTTAAAGTCAAAGTACATATGAACCGCGATTCCCGAAACGATGTTACGAACTTCTGCTTTCTTAAACACTTTTCTCGGCCGAGACGGAAGCACTAGTCTGTTTTCGTCCATTATAAAGATCTTGATGTGATGGAAATTATTCTTTTTCAGAGTTGGCCACAAATAATCGATAATCCAATCGCGTTCTTCTTCGGCGGTCATTTGCATTCCGTTAAGACGAACTTTTGCTGTAAGGAACAATTTGTTCATCGGTTCGTTCTGAGACGACAAACCCCAGAATCGTATACCGACACGCTGATATGCCGCAACATATCTACGAGAATAAAAAATATCACTTGATTAGTAAATTACTATTTGATTTGATCGATGTTTTCTGTTTACTCGTAAACAGAAAACAAGTTTTAGAAAGTTATAGATATAGCTTTTATAAAGTGTTCATTATAAAATATGTTTTTATCTTTATAGGTGTAGGTGTATATTTTACATGTAAAAACTAAATCGTTGCCGTCTGGTTAATCAATGAATAAAATTATTAGAAAAATAATAAGAATAATTGCAAATTAAGATAAGAAAAGATCAATTATAATAGATGTAATAACACAGCTTGTAAAAATATGTTACAATCACATATTACTTTACGAAGTAATCTGCCCATAATTGTCGATATTCCGAGCGCAGTGAACTGTTCCAGGTCCAAGTGTCAACTGTTTTCATCCAAGGAGTAGCGCTCCACGGTAGTGTCAGTAATTTAATCTTATATCTTTTCATTTGTTGTGCTCTTTTTATTACCGGTATCTGGTTTAAAAATTGAAATACTTAAGTACTTATGTATATATTTTATACCATGCAGTCATTCTAAGCTGTATTCAAACTATTTTACTTAATAGTTCGGTTTCTTCAATATATAATACACTATTTGTATCATACTATTTACAAGAACATGCACAACAACTAACTAGAGTAGAAATGTACACATTTATAAGTAAAACAACCTTGTAAACGATATCTTCCATTTGTAATTCGAAATTTTTAAGCGTTGTATCGTTTGGTACCATTGCATAACTATATGGTCTTGATGAGAAATCCGTACCACCCATTGGTGCTCTGAGCATATTATAGTTAATACCATTTGGACCAAAGTAGCTTCTGAAAAATTGAAAATACGGAAATTATTTTCTAGTAAAAAATGACTTTTTGCAAATTTTTGTAGTTAGATAAAGTAAACATTGAGTGGTACTTATTTGTTTGTTTGAATATATACGCAAATTACAATAAATGCAACACGCAATGTTAACGCAAACGATAATTATTATAAGAAAAAATACAATTCTTGGCATAAAATATTGTTAGTAAAAACAGTGAAATATTGTACACACTGTATTCAAACAATTATTTATTACAGGACAAGTTTACGATTTTATAATTTTGAATTGTGATCTATTATTATAAAGTCACTAAAGAAGAATCAAATCAGAGTCGAAACGTATTGTTACTACTTAGTAAATACATTGTTCCGAAACTGATGTCCGATATTTGACTTTTGTTGAACTTTTTGTTTTTAATTAATTTGATTAAATAGAGCCGTTGAAACTTTTCGTAATTAAGTAGACTTTAGAGAAATAGTTAGTGAAAGAAAGAGATTGAAAGAGAAACATAGTAAGAAAAAGAAATTTATAATTTATTATACCGCAACAAATTATCCGATGCTTTTTTAGTTAACTTGAGGATATTTAGACATGCTGAATCGGTCACTGCTCCACCAAACCCCAAAATTTCTTGATAGTTCTTTCTCCGGTTGATGATAATTCTTCCTAATAAAAATAAAGCTTTTTTTTAAGAGGTTTAAGTCATATTTGCATGCACAAAACATTCTACAGTAATTAATGTCTTATTACTTGCAAGAAATATATATATAAATCTTTACCGTCGACATTGTCTCTTAATAGATCTTTTCTAAATATGCCGTTTGACATATAAAATCGTAAGCCACTTCTGCTCGAAGTTATGAGAGCATATCTAGCAGAAGTGAAGAATGGTTTGGTCGCGTCTGGAGCTTCATCGCAGTACGTTGCATTGCAAACGCAATAATGTCCATCGTCCTGTCCTGTTTCTTGCGATGGGCGTCTAACGCACTCATTCAATGCCGCAACTACTTGTAATAAAAAATATAACATATTTATTTGTTCTATTTTACTTTGTTTAATTAAAAACTATAAATGATTATAAATTAAAAGGAAAATACTTAAAGATCCTGTGTAAGTAGTGGACAATCAAACAAATTTAACGCAGAATTTTTTGGACGGTTTGATCAAATTTTAATTACTCAACAGAGAGTAAAAGACTCAATTAGTATCACCTGAATAATAAACTTTGATGTTAGTGAATTGCTTTTACTACTTGTTTATTAAAAACATGTGTTTTTTTTCTTATGTGGTATTATTCGATGTCTCTATAAAATAAGGAACAAAAGAATACCGCCTCCCAAAATCTCTATTTTTATTTATAAATTTAATAATTAAAAAAGAACGATGCGAGAGCTATTACTGCCACTCCTAAAATGAAAGAAATGAGACAAGAATGTTGAGTGCTGGATTTTTTGTTATATTAATTGCACTTAAAATTCTATGTTAGATTGTTTTCGTGCATACCTTTTTAGGATTTATTTAATATTTTAAATAAGATAGCTTAAGTTGACAGTAATTGGACAGGTGACAGTAATTGGGTTTTTTACCCTATTTTCAGCAATTAGCATGACAAGTCATCACAGGGACCGTTTAATACGTCGGCAAGTACGAGATAAAACAAGTGATAACATAGACATACAAACAACAATTTTAAGTAATGAATATTTTCAGCAACTAACTTGACAAGTCATCAGAGATTGTTTAATGCGCGTCGGCAAGTACAACGAGTCAAAACAACCGATAACTCAGATATACAAATAATAAAGTATGATATTTACGCATCGAAGGTTCTTAACTGCAAGAGTAAAATCCGAATTGAATTATCACTATATTCGCCAACACACAAAGAAACGGAACAAAGAATGATCATCTTACATAACAGAATACACATATTTTTGAGTAATTATAATTATGTCACCGCTATTAATATTTTAAAACCAAAAAGTGCAATGTATATGAGCAAACCAGTTTTTTTTACATATTTTTACATGTATTGTATATATTGTCTTACATATCTGTTACATGAATATTACATGAATGAGGTTTACAATGCTAGATTGCGTAAAGATAGAAAACGTAATAAATTTTGAAAGTTAAATAAGCCAAGATATAAGTTTTAAGTCGTTGTTTCGCTTTTATAACGTGTTAAAACAGCATGCGTCATAAACTACAATTCTAAATTTTTTTGTAATGAACCATTTATGTTAAGTGTTCGAAATTAATTTCTAGACACATTGGTTTGGATTGAATATCGCTTTATGTAAAAAGTAATCTCCAACGCAAAGCGAAGTTCAATTCATATCTATGTATCTAGTTGTTTGAATAGTGGAGCTTTTCGTAGGATGGGCGGAACACATGTTTCCACGCATACACTTTCCACGAGAAGCGAGGTTCCAGATGGATTTATAATTGACTAACTTTTCAACTTTGTTAAATTATGCAAAGTAATTATTTTTCGACAAAAATTTATCCAACAAGACACACAAAGTAGTCAATCGTTGAAGAAAATACTAGGTAATTATGTAGAATAGGGGAGCCACCTCCGATTTCAATAATTTTTACATATGTTGTCAAGGTCATTGTTCCGAGTAATAATATGAAGGTTTTAGGCCGCGGTCGTTGTTTGTTTAGAAGTTATGAGAGAAAGAAGTTTCATGAATGAATTCTTATTTTTCGGTTCCACGTACATTTCGTTCGTATTTCAAGGGTGTAGGCAGAGGGGGCTGCGCCCCTCTGCACCTACCCCCCCTAACAACCTAACTTAACCCTAACCTAAACTCTTCCATCTGCATTCCCTCTCGCAAAATTTCCACAATGGTTAGGACATCCTTTTTCATCCAATCAAGTCGTTATTTTCCACAAAATAATGACTTGATTTTCGAGGGGGGAGCAGAGGGTGGGGTGAAGCCACTCCCCTTGCGGGGGGGCGTAGCCCACCCCTGCCTACACGCTTGAAACACGAACAAAATGTACGTGAGATCAAAAATAATGTCTGTTACAGACATTATTTCAAAAAAAGCGTCCAATCGTTCAGCAAAATCGAACGTTTTCTTAAATGCAAATTCGGCCAAATAATGATCAAAAAGATATTCTTCACGAACATAGAAGCATTTTCAATGAAACGACCTTTCAAGATACAACTACAAAAGCGTATAAACAAACATGTGCCCAAACACACGCAGAACACATTTATATATAGGATGTCCAAAAATTATATATTGTTCAGTAGACTTCTTTCCCCTGTAACTTCTAAACAAACAACGACCGCGGCCTAAAACCTTCATATTATTACTCGGAACAATGACCTTGACAACATATATAAAAATTATTGAAATCGGAGGTGGCTCCCCTATTCTACATAATTACCAAATACTACAAGATCACTTCAGTATAGACAAGTAAACAAAGACGAAAATCGACAATTTATATCTGTAGTAATTAATGATTTGCAAATAGACAAATAACATATCGCGTCACATAAGCTGCGTAGTCGCCGCGGAAGAAAAATAATAAACAAGCGACGAGCCGACGTTCTTGTATACATTGCAACGGAACACGAACAGGTAAGATTCAGTGCAAAATTAGCTCAATTTTTTGGCGTATTTCTCGAAAACTAAGCTCAAACAGTGGTTATATGTAAAGGAAAAAGTTGTCCAAAATCTTGTCTTCTATTACATATTAAAAAATCATCGACATCGGGAGACCCGTTGAACATAATTATAAAGGATGTTGATGTTGTTTTGAATCAGGTTCTTAACGGAATTAAGAATCTCTTGGTTTTGATCGGGCAAGTTTGAACCGTTGTGCAAGGTGTTGTGCAAATACTTTGAAAGCAATATCATTTAGCTAAACGTTTCGGTTTTTATTTCAAACCTTCTTCAGTGGATTACTTTAGTGGAATAATCCCTCTTTTTTCAATGACAAAGTGTAAATTAAAAAATAAATTAGTCGTTATCAATGTGTTAAAATGGAAATTAACACACACAACGACTATTTTCCATTTTAAAACATTGATAACAACTAATTTAACTTTTAATTTACACTTCGTCATTGAAAATCAGGAGGAATTGTTCCACTAAAGTAATCCACTGAAGAAGGTTTGAAATAAAAACCGAAACGTTTGGATAAATAATATTGCTTTTAAATTATTTGCACAACACCTTGCACAACAGTTCAAACTTGCCCGATCAAAGTCAAGAGATTCAAAATTATAAAGATTTTTCGAGTTCCAATTTTTTTTTTAAAAGTAAGGAAGTACATAATTTTTTTGAGTTCCCACGATTGATTCCTCATTAGACTGACAAAATAAAGCGATAATCCAAAAAACCGCATTGAAATAGCCAAAATTGAGAAAAGCAGCTAAATTGCATAATTTCCAAAAAACTTACCTCGGAATAACAATTTTAAATCGGAAAAGTCGCATGTACCAAAAATGTCTAAATAAACGTTAAACACTTTTTCATATCTCATAATTCAATCACTTATAAACAGATTGTTAAATAGATCACTTAAATAAATATAAATAAATATAATAAATCATTTATAAATAAATTTTAAAAAATATACTATAAAATACTATATTACACTATATATATTATACTATATTATACTATTATACTATATTAAACTATATTATACTATATTATACTATATAAATTCTATTATATTATAAAACAAAGAATAATTATCACCTGCTATTGACAACGTAACGACGAATGCAGCAACGCATCGCATAATGAATTGTTGAAAACAAAACAGATTATGCCTATAACAGCTAATTTCACATACGCACACACACGCAACTGGTTTACGTAAAGAAACTAATGAAAAGATATTAGTACAACATGTAAATAAATATTTTAAAGCACTATATACTGTGAAAACGGTATCTGATATGACTCTTAATTAAATTCAAAAGGCACGATAGTACCTCGCGCCAACTTTACGCACAATGAAGTCACACTCGAACGGCGCGAGACACTCGTGCCTCTTATGCCGGGACTAGACTATGCGCGCATTCGCGATTCGTGATTCGCGATTCGCGATTCGTGATTCGCGATTCGCGATTATACAAACACACTTTTTGCGTGTATTCGCGTAGCTACTACGTAGCTACGTAGCGCATCACTACGAATCGCGAATCACGAATCGCGAATGCGCGCATAGTTTAGTCCCGGCATTATATGCGAAATTCACGCGATTCAGAAGTGGGGAGATTTTTACGGACAATATNTCAAGAATGACTAAACCGACTTTGTTTAGTCTCAATTAGTTCAGAACAAAACGTTAAAAAAGAAGATATTCTTGCGTTTTGTTTTGTGGCTTCTGATCATGGAGATTTGCGACGATTTNAAGTGGAAAATTCACATTTCAGATACGTCNTAGTCATGGTCGTCGTTAGATCAAAATGTGTTCATGTTTGTATTATTTGTTCATGTTTGTTAACAGATGGGATGCATGTGCGAGCGCATTGGAAGAAGAAAAAGAAAGAAAGACAGGAAGTATGAGTTAGAGAGAGAAAGAGTGAATCAAGAAGCACGGCAGGAATTCGCGTTATTGAAAATTTATTGAATATACATATAGAGTGTACAAACGTTTCAACACACAAACAACAGTGTTCGTGCTCCCATTAGCCTTGTCACATTACTGTGGGTATNTTGGATATTTGGAGCCTTCGCCTTGCTGATAACAAATGCAATTATGGTTAAGGCGACAATTATGTTTAATTTACCTTTTAAAAACAAATGTCGGCAAATAGTCGACTCTAGTCAATATATAGTCGACTTTTAAAAATCAACTTTAAGTCGTCTACTAAAAATCAACTTAAAGTCAACTTTTAAAATTCGACTATAAGTTGACTGAAAAAGGTCGACTATAAGTCGACAATCAGACACTCGTGATGTGTGAGACGTTATTGTAAACTGTATTTTTATTTTATAGTATTTTCTATTGTATATCGTTTTTCAATAATACAAAAGTTTACTTGGTGCTACTCTTTGATATCACTTCTTTTTTTTAAAACAGGTTTGTAGAAAAAAAATTATTTAGGATATAATATTTTGTAAACCAGCTTTTATAAAAAAAAAAACTGTTTTTGTGTAAAACAAAAACTGACTTGAAATGTTTTATATAACTAAAAAATAATAATGAAAAACAGTTAGGAATTAGAAATTTTAATAAAAAAACAATACGTGTTATGCGTGTACTTGACGCTTGTTCTTACTTTTTATCGAAAGATGCGAACTGACGAACTAACAACGCATACCTAAATGCAAATAAGNCGCAGGAAAAAAAATTATACTTCAAGACAAGAATTCTTAAACATGAGAAAGTTTACTGTTATTATAGTAGAGAGGTACATTATCCAGTCACCAAAAAGATACTACAATATTTCTCAATATTGACGGAGACATANTTTTCACTAAAAAAATAGATATACTTTGTGTCAGAGTAAATATCGAAGAAAAAAACAAAGCTTTAACACTTATAAAAACAAAACTTATTGAAAAACAAAATATTGATATATGCGGCTACTTAACAAGTATTCGTCCAATTATTTTTGCGGTGTTTGTGTTTTGTGTGTGAATTGTTAATGTTGTCAGTCTTCTATAGACGCACTTCTTGGTGAAATTCTACACACAAAGAAAAACAAATGTACATATGTTTGAAAAGGAAATTAATTCACATGTGTAAATACATCGACACACTTACACTTATTTGATATATATTTATATTTGTATCACGTCTCTACCAATATTTCATCGTGTTTATGGATTTGCCCAAAACATTTAATCTCGCTATTCCTTTTTTCGGATCTTCGATCAAAATTTCCTTATCCTTATCGTTCCTAAAGAAGAAAAGTACAGTCAAAGAAATGTTTGCAACATAGTCTCTCACATGTTCGTTTTGTAACTCACATATTTAAAATCACTAATACTATGCCGTGGTCAGGTGTAAAGAACGCGACACTCTGAATTCCTTTTTCGAGATTTTCTAATATTGTGCCGATTCTCACGCTACCAGGTACAACGTATCTAATTACGGAAAAAAATTTAAATAATAAGAATATTAAATCCAAAAGTGTAGAAATGCCGCGGAAAACGATAATTGTAATTATTGCGTACTTGGAAAAATGTCCTATGGCGTAGAATATCGGTTGCTTGTAAAACTCGTTGGCTGTAACGTTGATTATGATCGGCGAATCTACGTTATTGCCGATATAAGTGGGCCCACCGTTTGTATCTAAGGCGATGTTCCAGTCAATCCAAGATGACGCCCAATGCGACAGATTTTCGAGAATATTCTGCGCGTAGAACTCGCCGCGTCTCCACGAGCCGAGAATCACTTTTGTTTCGTCTGTAAATAAAGAGACAATATGTGTCATCCATTGAATTACATGACCCGTATAACAAACTGCGCTTTATTACTATTTATCCGATCAAATTTTCTTTCGAAACAAACAGTAAAATCTTTAACTGTGCAAAACATTACGTCACTCCCTACGTTTAATTACATAAGTGTCATATATGGGATTTTCAGTTTATTGCATGGTGACGTTTAGAAAGTCATGTTCTTTATGGTCACCAAATATTAAGAAAAAAATATTCATAAGTAAGGTAAAAATTTAAAACCGAAAGATCCCTTAACTAGAGAAACTATATGAAGCTTTAAACTTTTAAACTGCTCCCTTTTAAAATTTGCGTTTTGGAGTTACGGGATTATCCGTAGGGAGTGACGATAAAGGACTTTGTTTCCCGTGTTTTGACTTCATATATGTTTTCACATTTGTTTTACATGACAATTGATCGACCACAACTGTGCGACTTTAAGGAGTTGTAGAGTTTGTGCTCGAGACGTTACATGTGTGTATTACCAGGACGAAAAAAAGAGAATGTGTATTCTATGGGATTAAAAATTTTCACACAATCTTACCGAAAGCTCCGACGCAGCCTTCTGTCATAATTATCAATTTCTCGGGATAATCTCGCTTTACTTCATCGAGAACTTTCGAAGTGATGTTAAAGTCGAAGTACATATGGACTGCAATTCCAGAAACGATGTTACGAGCTTTCGCTTTTTTAAACACCTTTTTCGGCCAATACGGAAGCGTTATTCTGTTTTCGTCCATTATAAAGATCTTAATGTGATGGAAATTATTCTTCTTCAGTGTTGGCCACAAATAATCGATAATCCAATCGCGTTCTTCCTCGGCGGTCATTTGCATTCCGTTAAGACGGAAGTCTGGTTGAAAATATAATTTGCTCATCGGTTCGTTCTGAGACGACAAACCCCAGAATCGTATACCGACACGCTGATATGCCGCAATATATCTACGAGAATAAAAAATATCTTGTTTGATTCGATTGTGTGAGTTTTTCTGTTTACTCGCGGCAAATTTTGAAAGGTATAGAAGGTTTTGTAAAATGATCATTATAAAACATGTTTTTATCTTTATACGTATATATGTGTATATATTTTATATGTAAAAACTAAATTGTTGCCGTCTGGTTAATAAATGAATAAAATTATTAAAAAAATAATAAGACTAATTGCAAATTAAGATAAGAAAAAAGCAAATAATAGAATATAATAGCAGCTTGTANAAATATGTTACAATCACATATTACTTTACGAAGTAATCTGCCCATAGTTGTNGATATTCCGAGCGCAGTGAACTGTTCCAGGTCCAAGTGTCAACTGTTTTCATCCAAGGAGTAGCGCTCCACGGTAGTGTCAGTAATTTAATCTTATGCCTTTTCATTTGTTGTGCTCTTTTTATTACCGGTATCTGGTTTAACAATTAAAATACTTAAATAATTATATATATATTTTATACCTTGCAGTCATTCTAAGCTGTATTCAAAATATTTTACTTAATAGTTCGGTTTCTTCAATATATAATACACTCAGTGGCGTAGTAAGAAAAGACAGCGTCCGAGGCGGTCTTTCTTCTCCGTGACTTTCTTATTAGGTTATTCTGATAATGACTACTCAAATAACTAACAGTTCTTTTAAGTTAGTGCTCAACATGGTTTTATTTTATACTTTTACTTTTTTTAATATATAACGTCAATTTATATAAAAAAATAAACAATAAAGTTTAAATTTTAAATAAATTTGAAACTTGTTTAATAAACTAAATTTTTTAAAATAAACGAAAATTGTTTAAATAAACTACATTGCAATAAATAACAAAATATTATTTATTATATAAATATTTAAATTTTAAGTTTGCTGTGATGCTTGCAAATTTTTTAATAACATCTGAAAAATCAATCTTTTTTGTTGCATGTTTTTCTATAAAGATCACTGCAAGCCCATTTAATCGCATCTGACTCATAGTTGAACGAAGGTAAGTTTTGATTAGTTTTAACTTCAAAAATGTATAATAGACGTTTTGCCGTTTTGACAGAAAAGCTTATCCCTGTGTTTGCAAATTACAGTTTAAATATTTTAAAAATCTATTATATTGTACTATTATATTGATACAACAGGACGCTTACTTGAAGTATCCTCTAAAGAATAAGTAAGAAAAAAAAACAGTTTTTCCATTCTATATTAAAAACTATAGTAATATTAGATTTAAAAAAAACGCCAAATTTTATAAAGGTACACTTTGTATCTGTATTACGCAAGTAATCGGAAAAGTAAAACTATAATAAAGAAAATTTTTTTCATTAAATAACACTTGAGCTTCAAGCAATAAAAATGCGTTTACATGTTACTCCATTGCGTCCTTGTTAAGACGGCGCCCGAAGCGGATCGCCCCCCTTCTTACTACGCCACTGAACACATTATTTATATCATACTATTTACAAGAACATTAACAGAGCAAATAACTAGAAAAAAAAATTTACACGTATATAAATAATGCAACCTTGTAAACGATATCTTCCATTTGTAATTCAAAATTTTTAAGCGTTGTGTCGTTTGGAACCATTGCATAACTATATGGTCTTGATGAGAAATCCGTACCACCCATTGGTGCTCTGAGCACATTATAGTTAATACCATTCGGACCAAAGTAGCTTCTGAAAAATTGAAAATACGGAAATTATTTTATAGTCAAAAGTGACTTTTTGCAAATGTTTTTAGTTACATAAAGAAAACATTGAGTGGTAATTATCTGTTTGTTTGAATATGTACGCAAATTACAATAAATGCAACATATGCAATGATAACGTAAACGATAATTAGTATAAGAAAAAGTATAATTCTTGGCACAAAATAATGTTAGTAAAAACATTGAAATATTGTACACTGTATTCAAACAATTATTTATTACAGGACAACTTTACGATTTTATAGTTTTGAATTTTGATCTATTATTATAACGTCACTAAAGAAGAATCAAATCAGAGTCGAAACGTATTGTTACTACTTAGTAAATACATTGTTCCGAAATTGATGTCCGATATTTGACTTTTGTTGAACTTTTTGTTTTTAATTAATTTGATTAAATAGAGCCGTTGAAACTTTTTGTAATTAAGTAGACTTTAGAGAAATAGTGAGTGAAAGAAAGAGATTGAAAGAGAAACATAGTAAGAAAAAGAAATTTATAATTTATTTTACCGCAACAAATTATCCGATGCTTTTTTAGTTAACTTTAGGATATTTAGACATGCTGAATCGGTCACTGCTCCACCAAACCCCAAAATTTCTTGATAGTTCTTTCTCCGATTGATGATAATTCTTCCTAATAAAAATAAAGCTTTTTTTTAAGAGGTTTAAGTCATATTTGCATGCACAAAACATTCTACAGTAATTAATGTCTTATTACTTGCAAGAAATATATATATAAATCTTTACCGTCGACATTGTCTCTTAATGGATCTTTTCTAAATATGCCGTTTGACATATAAAATCGTAAGCCACTTCTGCTCGAAGTTATGAGAGCATATCTAGCAGAAGTGAAGAATGGTTTGGTCGCGTCTGGAGCTTCATCGCAGTACGTTGCATTGCAAACGCAATAATGTCCATCGTCTTGTCCTGTTTCTTGCGATGGGCGTCTAACGCACTCATTCAATGCCGCAACTATTTTTAATAAAAAATATATAACATATTTATTTATTTGTTCTATTTCAATTTGTTTAATTAAAAAGTAAAAATGATTATAAATTAAAAGGGAGAGACTTAAAGATCTTGTGATCTAAGTTAGCAGTGAACAATCAAACAATTTTAACGCAGTATATTTTGGACGTTTTGATCAAATTTTAATTAGTTAATATTTTCAGCAATTAGCATGACAAGTCATCACGGAGATCGTTTAATACACGTCGGCAAGTACAAGCTAAAACAAGTGATAACATAGGCATACAAACAACAATTTTAATTAATGAATATTTTCAGCAACTAACTTGACAAGTCATCAGAGATTGTTTAATGCGCGTCGGGAAGTACAACGAGTCAAAACAACCGATAACTCAGATATAAAATTTAAGATGTGCAATTTAAAAAATTTTTAAATATATTTTTATGTATTTTTTTTATATATGTTTTTTTTCTTACATATTTTTTATATAAATATTAAGTTCAACAATGCTAAATTAGTTAAAGATAAAAAATGTAAGAAATTCTGAAAGTTAAATAAGCTAAGATATAAGTTTTGAGACGTTGTTTCATCTTGTAAATTTTCAAAACAGCACGCATCAAGAACTACAAATCTGAATTCTTTTGTGCTTAACCACATATGTCAATTGTTCAAAAGTGATTTCAAACAATTGTAACTTGTCTTTTGTTGTACATAAGTATAAAAATTATTGCAAGTTATTTAATTATTGCGAAATCGACTGAAACTTGATGAGCAAAAAATCTTGAAATGCATAGAAAATACATATTAATAGAAATAATTGATGTGTACAATAGTCATACTTAAAAACATTACAGAAAAACACAAACGGAATACACATTTAAAATAAGTCGAAAATAAGAAAAAGATCAAATCAAGTCGAGAAAAATTAACAAAATTTATAAAATCAATTTACTCAATTATAAAACGGAAAGTATATAATTTCGTGAAACATTTGAATTCTTGTACTGAAGTCTTCTTAAAAAACAAATACAAAATACAACTCATGTACATATGCAAATATACTCAAATATGTTTAAAAAACATATACATATATATGATATAATTACTTATAATAAAAAACTTAAAACTTTAAATCGTAAAAATCGCACGTACTACAAAGATCGAAATAAATGTCAAACAAATTTTTGTATCTTATAAATAGAGCACTTATAAATACATCTCAAAAAAATAATAAAACAAAGAATAATTGTTACCTGCTATTAACAATGTAACGACGAGTACAGCCATACAACGCATGGTGAATTGCTGAAGATGAAAACAGGTCGTGTCTTTCAATGCTAATTTCATATACAAACACACACGCAACTGATTTATGTAAAGAAACCAATGAGTATATATCAAAATACGACATTTTCCGTAATATTTTAAAGCACGATATACTGTTTAATCAATATTATATATGTGACATTTCATTAAAATACTTATTACAAGAGCGCAAACAATAATAATAATGTAATAAATTAATAATTTTAATACACAAAAATATTTAAGTAATAGTATCTGGGGAAAAAATCTTATAGATGGACCAGTTTGATAAGTCTAGCTATAATTATATTATATACAATTATAACAATTATCAAAGAATATGGAATGATGAGGCGTTACTGAACTAGTTGCTAAGTATTATGCAGATGTATTGAATTTCAAAATAATACAGACGTTTCGACTTTTGTTTTAAATCTTCATCGGTGTTCTGTGCAATAAAAACGACATATTCGGCAATGAAAAATTAAAATTAATTTAACATAAGAATTTACAATATAAGTATAAATAAATGGTAATGTGACATACCTTTAGTCAAAAAACTCTCACATCTAAAATAACGACATTTTCAGTCATGTAAAACGGTGTTGTCAAGTCAAAGGTGTCGTCTAGACTGAAATTTATGTGACAAAGTGGGAATGCTTTAGAACTAAAGGTATGTTTACAATGAAGTCGATGAAAATATTACTTAAGTCTATTCAAATAGCGGTAAGTATAAATCGTCGCCGTTCAGTCATACGATGTAAGTCTTATAGGAGCAATCCTGCGGCATATGTACATTTTTTCTAATAGAAAAAAAAATATATATATAGAAATTGTCTAACACATTTTCGTATCTTGCATTTTGTTGAGTCTATGTTTTTGCAATTTAATGTACAACATTTTAGAAGTCAATCTCTTAATGTAGTTAGATCCTATATCTAATATTTCTGAGGAGCCTCAATTAAACGTATGACCCGTTTTTAAAAAATGTTCTGCTAAGACTGAGTTGCGATCTGGTTTTATTACATACTTTTTATGTTCGTTAATTCTGGTCTTAATTTGTCTTTCGGTCTGTTCTGTGTAGGTATAATCGCATGACTCGCACGAAATGCGATAAACCACGTTGTTCTGTTGATATTTGTCTATCGGATCTTTGTGTGTTCTGATAAATTTATTTAATTGGTATAAATTTTTAAAAGATAATCTTGCATAATATCTAGCAACTAATTCAGTAACGCCTCATCATTCCATATTCTTTGATTATTTGTTTCTGAACCTGAGGTCATCCATTGACAACAACCATTATTTATAATAATTATATTATATACAATTATATACAAGATGAACTGTTTAACTTGACACAACAACATATCGCAAGAACTATGCATTTTCAAAAAAGAATGGTTTGGATAAAACTTGTTTGGTTTTGAGAACAAAATGTCGTTATTGGTTTTTTAAGTAGTTCACGTTTTTAATGTCAATCTAAGATCAAGTGTTTGTTTTAAAAGAAAATTTATACTTTTTTTATGACATTTTATTAAAAAAAAAACAAAGAAACAAAACTCGAATTATTTTTATCATCCGACTTCCAAGATATAAAAGAATTCAATTGTTTTTCAAGATGTTTTATTATAACAGTTTTGTTATAAAATTCAAGATGGGAGGCAGTTGAAGCAAGACACGGATGTTGTTGTGCAAACACGTGAAGGTGATTTTTATTTCATGATGTAATGTGTATGTATAATGTGACAACGTTTTGACCTTCGGTTTAGGTCTTTATCAAAATCATTAGAAATATGCTGTTCTTAAAGTCGTCGTGCAACAAAATAAAGATACATATTAACACATGAACTGTCAATAACTGATTGAAATTTTAAAATCATTAGAAATATGCTGTTCTTAAAGTCGTCGTGCAACGAAATAAAGATACATATTAAGACATGAGCTGTCAATGACTGATTGAAATTTTAATCAGTCATGACAATGTCATGTTTAATCAGTCATTGTCATGACTGATTAAAATTTCAATCAGTCATTGACAGCTCATGTGTTAATATGTATCTTTATTTTGTTGCACGACGACTTTAAGAACAGCATATTTCTAATGATTTTAAAATTTCAATCAGTCATTGACAGCTCATGTGTTAATATGTATCTTTATTTTGTTGCACGACGACTTTAAGAACAGCATATTTCTAATGATTTTGATAAAGACCCAAACCGAAGGTCGAAACCAAAGGTCACATTATACATACACATTACATCATGAAATAAAAATCACCTTCACGTGTTTGCACAACAACATCCGTGTCTTGTTTCAATTGCCTCCCATCTTGAATTTTAAAATCTTTGGAGCTATTTGTCTTTTCTTTAAAGTTTTGTTATAGTTGCAACTGTTAATATCATACTCACCAGTTAAACTCGCTTTAACAAATGCTCACCAGTTAAACTCACTTTAACAAATGCTCAACGTGGTGACTTTGCATTTCCAAGAATTTATTTACATGTTTTATAAATTACGATTGATGCACAAATAGTAAGGTTTTTTTTTCTTCATACGTCTGCAAGTATTCAGTTGCACATTTAAAAATGTAATTCTTTTATCTCGCGAAATGTAATTCTCGCGATATTCCGTTATTCCAAGTTAAAGTGTACATATATATATATATATATATATATATATATGAGATGGAAACAATTGTATATCTGATTATATGTACAAAATAAAATAAATAGATAAAGCTATATAAACTTTAAACTGTTTTGTTAAGATCATTTAGTTAACTAAAGTTTTTATACGCAACAAACTAAGCAATGCGTATTATATAACAGTTAAAAAACTTCTTTTTACCTTATTTACAGAAACAATAAAGAAGTAAACATCATAAAATTTAAAAGCTTTATTATTTTAATTACAATAAAGAAACTATATAAATTCGATATTATATATACTAATTTTACATTATTCTTTTTATAGATATTAACTTATTTGCATAAACTTGTGTTTTGCAGGTGTCGTTTGCAATTGGACAAAAGAAGACAGATGTTTTCAATCCAATTATGCTAATGGAGATAAAGTGATGTCTCTAAAATTGTTACACATAAAAGAAATTTCAAGGTAAGATGTTAACATAGTACCTTTAAAATGACGTCGATGAAAAAAAATTCTTATCATATTTATCTTAAAATAATCATCTTCAATTGAAGGAAGAAGTCACAAAAAAAACATGGTTTCATAGTTTTCTTTTGTTTCACACGTTATTCGCACTTCTTGACGTAGTCTCACACAACACTGAATAAAAAATTATTTCTTATTATTATTTCACATATAGTTGTATCAGTTAGTTATTAATTGTTTCAGTTTCAGTTAGTTATTTTATTTTATCATAGTATTTTATTTCTTCCTCACGAACGTGTGTGATAGAACTAGTGAAGCGCGCTGACACGTGCGAACTGGATTAGTTGGCCATGCGCTTATATTCAGCCTCGTTTCAAAATTAAATTGAATTTCTTTTATAAACGGAACGGGATCGCGCGTCTGCCAGAGCGTGTCCCACCTCGTAAGGTTATCACTAGACCAAATATTCGATTAAACATAGCGCGCGCTTACAGGAGACGCAGTTTTTTATACATATCTATGCAATGCACCTCAACGTACCACAGTAAGACTCCAATAATTTCGAGCACACATCACAATTTCTACTTTTCTTTTATTTAACTTTCTTTATTAAACTATTAAGGTCAATAGTTTCTCCCACTATTGATGATTTCCCGATGTTCTTGAATGACTGCGCAACTCGTAAAATGCGCCAATAAAGAGAGGAAGGCGACGAACAAGATAGCGAGAAAGCTAAAATGAGATAAGGGAAAAGAAAAATGATTATTTATTATTATTATTAAGAGACTGTATTTTATATAATTGTGATATCAAATAAATGGTTTTGTGTGCTATTTAAAAAGTCAGTTCTGTCAGTATTAATTTTTTTAAGATTAGGTATATTTGTCTTGTTTATTCTGTCTATTCTCACTCTAAGAATCTAATTGTAAGATAAAAGGAAAAATATTTTTGTCTTTTGTTACCAGTCGGTCGCTAACTTGAAAAAGAAGAAAATAATTTAGAATTTTTTTCTACGAAGAATCAGTCTCACGTGTGTATACTCAAAATTAGCAGAAAGTCTTTGTATAATAAATCACGAGTGCTCTTTTGATTACTGTAAAATTTTTATTTAGTTTTTTATGCAGCTTGGAAGTATGTTATATCTATACGGAAATAGAAATTTGTTTTTTTAATAAAATTGCGATACTCAAAATATATAATACGTAACACAAGAGAGAGAAAGAGAGAGAGAGAGAGAGAGAGAGAGATTAAACGCGGGAAGATCTTTTAAACATTCAGCGAGATTGAAAGCGAGTTTGTGCAATCCCATTTCTCGTAGCGATCGTCAAATGCGGCCGCATATCCAGCAAATTCCTTCGCTCGAAAGGTAAGAATTCTCAATGAGAGTTTTAATGAAGAGTGATCCGAGTTATGCGGGAGTTTAAAGTAATTATGAACTGACGAACTAACAACGCATAAATTGATGCAGATAAAGCCTGTTCTACATTAAGCGCAAGACGCAAACGCAAGTAGATCTCGAATGGAATTGACTAATCGCATTGATTAAATCAGCCAATTGACCAACGTGATTGGTCAATTCCACGAGACCTGCTATTTGCGATTGCATCTTGCGCTTAATGTAGAATAAGCTTGAAACGCAGTAGAGGGAATTACAGTTCAAGAAAAGAATTCTTATAACCTTTCGGTGGTGATTCGGTCTGTGAGACCGATTAAATAAATATTCTTAGTTTATTTGTAAACTGGAGATCAGGAGTTGTGTGTACTTACTATTTATGCCTCCATTTAATTTTAGATTACAGATAGTTCATTATTTTGAAGGTCTCCGCACAATTCCTTTCGCAACGCGTTACGTTACGTTAAGTACTAGCCATAAACCTAGATTCGTACGTAACTTTAAACCTAGATTCGTACGTAACTTTAAACTTTATTCAACGCACAAAAAATAACGCAATCACGTTTATGATACATTAAGTTAATTTTGTTTGTTTGTTGAATAAAGTTCAAATTTACGTACGAATCTAAGTTTATGACCAGTATTGAACGTAACGTAACGAGTTTGTGCAAAGGACCTGAAGTTAGACGTTATTGCAGGCCGCTTTCAGTTCCGCAGACCGTTGACACTAAACTCGTTAGTGGTGCGACAGACCGACGTCACCTATTGTGTTGTTTTTTTTTTCAATAACATTGCAAGTATGTTTTCTTTACAAAAATAAATTTATAATTATTTGCTATAAAAATTATATATGTTGGTATTATTTTGGAGTGTGGGCTTCTTGTCAAATAAAACTTCAAAACCTATATATTAAATGTTTTTTTTTCCAAATAATAGACTATGAAAAGGAACAAGAGCGTTATACTATATGCAGTACTTTTCATTATTTTATTTTATTAATGATATACATAATTACATAATTTGTTATTTTACACAATAAAGAAATATCAATCAACCAAACTTTGTGTTTGATTTTTTGTTCGATTATTAAGTTTATATTTATTTTGTTTAATTATTTAGATTATATTTTTGGTTAGGTACTATTTTTTACCACAAAATAATTTTGTAAAGTTTTAAATTTATACCTATCTCTTATACTTTGGTGTCTTTACTTATACCACTCTACTTTAAATATATTACCACAATTTTTATGATTTTTTACAACTCTCGAGTAGTGACGTGAGTATTTACTATTTTACGAGCTTTAGAATGTTTATTTATACGGTCTCATAGATTATAGACCGTGCGTCAGCACTCTAGGATTAGGATTTTCCTCAATTTCAAAACATGTAAAACCAAATGAATAAATTTAGTTTATTTTAATGGTAGATAAAACATAGTTTCAAAGAACTATGTTGATAATGTATGTTTGGCATTTTTTCCACTTTCCTTTCACTTTAATAAAAAAAAGATATTATGACTTATTTTGTAGGAAAGTAGTTTTCACTAAACTTTTTTCTACAATCTATAATGTGTTTTTTGTTTTATAAAACATCTGTAATTTGTTGTACCTTAATACAGTAATAAGAAATACTTAATTTATAATTTTAAAACAATAATAAAGTCATAAAAAAAACAAAAAATAGGTCTCATAGTCCATGTCAATAAAAGCTACTCAAAAATCACATCACCACTGGAGGTGGTTACATACGAAAGCAAAGTTTCCTATTATTACAGTAGAGAAGTACAAAATCCAGTCACCAAAGAGATACTACAACATTTCTCAATACTGACTGAGAACTATTTTTTACCAACCAAATAAATACACTTTTTTGTCAAAGTACGTATCGATGAACGGAAAAAGCTTGTTAAAAAAAAAACTTTGAAAACTTATTAAAAAAACAATATTAACAAAACTGTGGTTACTTAACAAGTCTTTGTTTAATTGTTTTTCCAGTGTTTGTGATTTGTGTGTGAATTGCTACCATTGTTAGTCTTCTATAGACGCACTTCTTATTGAAATTCTACACACAAAGAAAAACAAATGTACATATATTTGAAAAGGAAGTTACTTCACATGTGTAAATACATCGACACATTATTTACACTTATTTGATATATATTTACATTTGTATCACGTCTCTACCAATATTTCATCGTGTTTATGGATTTGCCCAAAACATTTAATCTCGCTATTCCTTTCTTAGGATCTTCGATCAAAATTTCCTTATCCTCTTCGTCCCTAAAGAAGAAAAGTACAGTCAAAGAAATGTTGCAACATATTCTCTCACATGTTCGTTTTGTATAACTCACATATTTAAAATCACTAATACTATGCCGTGGTCAGGTGTAAAGAATGCGACACTCTGAATTCCTTTTTCGAGATTTTCTAATATTGTGCCGATTCTCACGCTACCAGGTACAACGTATCTAATTACGGAAAAAAATTTAAATAATAAGAATATTAAATCCAAAAGTGTAGAAATGCCGCGGAAAACGATAATTGCAATTATTGCGTACTTGGAAAAATGTCCAATAGCGTAGAATATCGGTTGCTTGTAAAACTCGTTGGCTGTAACGTTGATTATGATCGGCGAATCTACGTTATTGCCGGTATAAGTGGGCCCACCGTTTGTATCTAAGGCGATGTTCCAGTCAATCCAAGATGACGCCCAATGCGACAGATTTTCGAGAATGTTCTGCGCGTAGAACTCACCGCGTCTCCACGAGCCGAGAATCACCTTTTTTTCGTCTGTAAATAAAGAGACAATATGTATCATTCATTGAATTACATGACCTGTATAACAAACTGCGCTTTATTACTATTTATCCGATCAAACTTTCTTTCAAAACAAACAGTAAAATCTTTAACTGCGCAAAACATTACGTCACACCCTACGTATAATTACATAAGTGTCACATACGGGATTTTCAGTTTATTGCATAGTGACACTTAGAAAGTCATGTTCTTTATGGTCACCAAATATTAAGAAAAAAATATTCATAAGTAAGGTAAAAATTTGAAACCGACAGTTTCTTTAACTAGAGAAACTATATGAAGCTTTAAACTTTTAAACTGTTCTCTTCTAAAATTTGCGTTTTGGAGTTACGGGATTATCCGTAGGGAGTGACGATAAAGGACTTTGTTTCCCGTGTTTTGACTTCACATATGTTTTCACATTTGTTTTACATGACAATTGATCGATCACAACTGTGTGACTTTAAGGAGTTGTAGAGTCTGCACTGAGAGAAAAAAATAGTTGCAGTTATCACAATTTCACTATAATTTATAGTGATTTAAGGTGCCAACTATTTTTTTATAGTTATTTTAACAATGCGCCTTATAGTTGATTCAATAATATATTATTGTTGCCATAGCTTTA